TGGACCTGGCTGCAAATCTTAACTCTGCTATCTGACCTTGGGCAGTTCATGTCACCTCTCTTGAGCCTCAGTTTTTTCCACCTGGAAATTGGAAATAATTGCACCTACCTGGCAAAGGTGTTGCAAAGATTAAGTGAAGTCATGAATGTACAGCACCTAACATATACCCTCCATTCTGTCATAGGCATGTATTATTTTTGTAATTTTAAAACATATTTTAATATAAAAGATCTCAAATATTAAAGTACCTGGCTGATGTATCAAGCCAGTGCCCACTGCAAATGCAGAGGATGGGATTTCAAGAGATTCTCTTTCCTACTCCCAAAAGACAAAGGCCCCAATTGGGCCTGGCTAGCACTGATTTTATATGAGCTTAAAAGAAACCCCTGCATCATCACTCACTCTCCATCCCCCCACCCAGGCCCTAGCAAACATTAATCTACTTTCTGTCTCTATGGATTTGCCTCTTCCAGAAATTTCTTATAAATGGAATTATACAATATTTGTCACTTCCAGTCTGGCTTCTTTTATTTGTATAATGTTTCAGGTTCATATATGTTATAGTATGTATCAGTACTTAATTCACTTTACTAAAATATACTATTCCATTGCATGGATTTACCGCCTTTTATGGATGCATTCATCAGTTGGTGGACATTCGGGTTGTTTCCTACGGTCTTTCGTTCTTAATCAGGTTGCTAAGGTCTCTGTAATCCTTCCCCAAAAAGAACTCCACATCAGCCGTGAAGAAAGAGACCAGGAAACACCTGCAGATTTCCCTTTGCTTGGCTGGATGGGAACTATGGAAGACAGAGTGGTGCTCCCTTCTCCAGGGATCCTTTTGATGGCTGTCACCAATGGCTCACACTTGCAACCTTCTCCAGGGGAGTGTTCTTGGATGATTGCAGCCACCCTGCCTGGAGGTGTCTGAGAGTTAGTTGCCACCCAGAGCCAATGGGTGGCTGGTGTCCATTCTCCATGAAGTAGGAGACCTCCACGGAGCTGGAAGGCAAGGACAGATTTTTGGCCTGGTGGCCACTGGTTTAGATGGTGGAGGGACTGACAGACACAGAGTGAAGGAGCAGATGTGGAAGGGGCAAGGGTAGAAGTTGGTTCTTTCTTTCTCTCTCGCTTAAAAAAAATAAGAGTTTGAAGAGCCTGAATAAGTCTCTGATCCACTGGCTCCTTCTCTCCTCTCCTTTGCAGATTTCTCTCCCCTACCAGATTTCCACTATAAAAAACAATAAATTCAAATCACACAAATAATACATGGCTACATTCTTTTCTAAAACCAAGATAAAACTCACATTATCTGTCCTTTCTGTCCACAATCCAGTTTAGTTCCTCCCCTCTGAAGTTCCCACACTTGTCAGTTTGTTGTAAATTTTCCATACCTTCTGTCATATATATATATCTCTGTTTAGGAGAGGCAATGTAGGGCAGTGGTTAAGGGTTTGGCCTCTGGAGCTGGACTTCCTGTGTTCAAATTCTGGCCCCGTCACATACAAACTGTGTGACCTTTGAGAAGTTGTCTACCCTCTCTGAGCCATAATTTCCTTAATCTATTAAGTGGAAATGATGACATGACCTCACAGAGTTATTATTAGGATAAAATAAGTTATTATATGTAAAGCACTTCAAACAGTGCTTGGTATACGGTAAATGCCAGATAAGTGCTAGCTGACACTATTTATACACACCCACAGGAAAAGTGGAGTGTTGTTTTGCATATTTTTAAAAAACATAATGGTTTCAGGGGTGCCTGGCTGGCTCAGTCTGTGGAGCATGCAACTCTTGATCTCGGGGTTATAAGTTCAAGCTTCACAATGGGGATAGAGTTTACCTAAAATAAATTAATTTTAAAAAAACATAATGGTTTCATAATGAATTTATATCAATCAGCAACTTGTTTTCTAACCAAAACCATGTCTCAAAAATACTGTCCCATCAGTCCAGATCAGTTGAACTTTTTTGAACTGAACTGATGCTTAGTATTCCATTCTATAGACAGTTTATTAAAATACCCTCCTACTTACGGACATTTAGGTGGTTTCCAATTTCTCACAACTACAATGCAACCAGCCTACTAATTGATTTCCCTTTTTCCATTCCTGTTCTCCTTCCCTCTGTTTTCAGCACAGCAGCCAGAATTATCCCATTAAAAGCAGAGAGCTAATCAATGCTCAAAACCCTCCCAGGCCTCCTACCTCATTCAGAGTAAAAATCAAAGTCCTCACTATGGCCCAGTCGGTCTGCCAGAATATCTCCTGACATTCTCCTCCTTGTCCAGTTGATTCAGCCACTGACTTGCTAGCTATTTCTTTTTTTTTTTTTAAAGATTTTATTTTTATTTATTTGAGAGAGAGAATGAGAGAGAGAGAGAGAGAGCATGAGAGGGTCAGAGGGAGAAGCAGACTCCCTGCTGAGCAGGGAGCCCAATGCGGGACTCGATCCCGGGACTCCAGGATCATGACCTGAGCTGAAGACAGTCGCTTAACCAACTGAGCCACCCAGACGCCCCATGTTTTCTAAAACATGCCTGCTATGCTCCTACCTTTACACTTGTGGCTCCCGCTGCCTGGAACACTCTTCCTTCAGCTATCTATATGGCTCACTCTTCACCTTCTGGTGGTCTTTGTCCAAACGTCCCTGAACTACCCTACTTAAAATTACAAACCCCCTTCCCACGGATAAGGCCAAAACAGTGATGGCTGAAATTGTGGGTAGAGTGGACGAGATGTGTCTGTGCTTCCTTTCAGCTCTAAAAGGCTGCTTTGGTGATTTCAGACCACACAGTCATCCATTCATGAAGAATGGGAACTTGAGACTCAGCCTAGAATGTAATCAATGCAGAAGGAATGACAAGAGATGAATCCCTTGGGTCAGGCTTACCCCTTGGAACGACTTGGGAAGTTCTTGCACACGTCCTGGCCTGCAGGCACTGCCTCATTCACTCGCTCACCCACTGGGCACCTTCTGCCTAGTAGGCCCTGGACACGGCACGGCTCTGATGCCCCTGCTCTCCTAATGTAAAGCAAACTATCTTTACCTCCACCCCCACCCGGGCCTGGCTCCTCTGTGGCCCTGCAGGTCCCTAGTGGTTGGGTGATGTGTCTGCTGAAAGTGGGCGGCCACAGTGTAGTCAGACCCTGCCCTTCCTTTGTCTCTGTCCAGCCCCTGCCTTCCTCCTCCCATTGCCATCCACCCCTCGGGGCCTGGAGAGCAAATGGCTTTGCATTTACCACCTCCTAATACACTATATTTATTTACCTTGTTTAGAGTCTGTCTTCTCCGGTAGAATGCCAGGTTCCCAAGGACAGAGATTTTGTCTGTCTTTTCATGATTCTACCCCCACATTTAGTACAGTGACTGACACACGGTAGGTGTTCAATTCATGCTATGGTGACTGTGCCTCTGTGCCTCTATGTGAAAGTAGATGAGTGTGTCTTTTGGAACTAAACCTAGAAATAGCAGACCTAGGTCACAGGGCATACATATTTGACATTTTAATAAATGTTGCTAACTTGCCCTCTAAAGCAGCCAAACCCATTCATTCCCTACCTTGCAAATCCTTGATACCATTGAACTTTTAATTTTTAAACAATATGATAGGTGAAAATGGTACCTTCTTGTTTAAATTTAAATCTAATTTAAATTTCAGTATTGCTAGTTGAGGCCAACTACCTTTGCATGTCTTTTTTTTAAATTTGAATATCTAATTGGCTTTATTAAGTGATTCCTGAATTGGGCAGCATCCCATCTAGCAAGTAGAGGGGAGTCCCCATTTGCATTATTTTTAATGGCCAATTTGTTTCTTCTTCTAAGAACTGCCCATTTCCCCCATTTTTTTCCTATTGAGTTTTTGTCCTTTTCTTACTGATTCATAGACTTTTTTAATTTATACAATTAACTATACTTTAAAAATTACGATAATTTAAAAATATGTTAATGTTCATGAGAGCTAGTATGGCAGTCACCCTCCTTCCCCATTATTTTCCAAAACTCAGATGCCACATCTTGTGCTTTCCTCTTCTATAGAAATTTTAGAATCAACTTGGCAAGTTCCAAGACAAAACCTATTGCGAATTTCATTGGAATTGCTTTGAACTCTTCATATGGAAAATTAACAGCTTTACAATATTGGATCTCCCCATCCACTAATAAAGTATATAATCTCCTTTACTTATTTTTATAGTTATTTAACTAAGTTTTACAGTTTTTAATTTTCAGATAAAGGTCTTAGGCTTATTTTCTTAAACGCTGTAGTTTTTATTACAGTGATCTTTTCCCCCCTTGTAACTGCTATTATTTTCTGACTGATTGTTGATGATGGACAGGACCAGACGTCCTTAATTCAAATTCCACCTCCTCTATTTATTTATTTTAGACAATTCACTCAACTTCTCTGAGCCTTTGTTTTCTCTTCCAAAATACAAGGATGATAAAGCAAGAGTCGTAAATGGAATTGAAAGGGAAGGACCAACCAATCATAAGCCGCGGCTTTAAGCCGGTAATATCAGGGCATGGGCTCAATAAAGACTTGGAAAGACTCCTTCACGGTTGGGAGAATAGCTGAGGGCGAGTCTATGTTGTATGCAGGGGATTGTATTAAAACTCGAATTCCTATGAACATACAAAGCACCATGCATCACTATAGGAAGAATAATAAAAAATTTTCTTTCGTGAAAGTTTTGGGGAGGTCCAGGTGCGCGCCGTTCTGTTACCTGAAACAACTTCTTATCTCTTCAGTTGGTACCACCTCTCCCGAATAATTTGGAGTCGAGCATTCTGGGCTTTGTAGTAACTTCCTTATTAGAGTTGTTTCAAAGGGCACACGCAGTTGCATGAGACTACATTTCCCAGGAGTCTTCCGGGCCGGTTGTTTGCTAGTCCCTCATCCTGACTTCCGGCGTCCTTGCGATCCTCTGGGCCAATCCGGAGGCTAAGGATTGCCGGTTCCCGCACTGTGATTGGTGCATTCGACTAGAGAGCCTGGGTTCAAATTTTCAACGGTACTGAATGAAGTCCCGCGGCGGATCTTCCGGGCGCTCGGTTGTCAGAGCTGAGGCGAGGTGAGCACTGGGGAGAAACGGGGAGCAGCTGGGGCGCGGCCTGCCCTTTCCCTGATTGTTGAACGGCTGGAGGTCGCCCCCAAGCCCGTAGCGCCTCCAAGCGCCTCTTGACACTGGCTTCTGAGGCGGTCGTATTGTGTGGGCGCCGCCCTGGCCAGGCGGAGAGGGAGCCGGGCATCGGACCACCCTTCTCTTGGTGACAGGATTTTCCAGTGAAGTGTGTCCCGACCGAGACTAGCGGGCTGCATCTGGAGGTAGAGGCCGTGGGAAATAGGGGGAAGTAGGGGTTGCTGGAGGCTGTAAGCTAATAACGGTAACTATCATTGTTACCACGCACAGATGAGATAAGCTTTCACTGGACTAAGCACTCTGCGTGCGTTTTCTCACTTAATTATCGCACAAAGCCAATGAAGCAGGTGCTATTCTTAGTCCCACTTTATAGAGGAGGAAACTGAGGCTCACAATCTAAATTTCAAGAAATGGGTGAAACAGCAGCCCCGCCCTCAAGAAGTGTGGCTTTGGTGGAGGAAAACAGATGTGGTCACAGACAACTACATTTACAAAGTATTGTGTAGGATAGAAGGGTAATAGATAAGGTGTGAGAACATAATTGCGGGACTTAAATTCCAATTGGAGTTGTTTTTCTGTTTGGGATTTAAAATTCATCCTGTTTATCCGTATCTGCTTAGCCCTCCCCCTTTGTAACGAATATCTAGGTATTATTGCCTTTCTAATTTTCTGTCCTAGAACATTTATAGATTGAAGAGGAAAGGAAAAGTGTGAACCAGACTATAATATGGTAGGATTGTTTTGTCCCCTTTTTCTTGATGTATGGTTTCTTTGTCTCACATACAGTTTTCTTCTCGTAGTTAAGTACCAAGGGCTTGCCCAATCAGCCCTGCTTAGGACCAGACAGCATTGAGTGCTCTGCTGATTTTGCTCTGAGGTCATCCTTTATGTACTCCTAGGTTCATTCAGCTTTACCTTGTCTTGACATCCTATGGCCTTTCTTTGTATTTGTCTCACTCATCGGATGTCAGAATTTGAACTCTTTACTGCTACAATAAGGATATTCTTGTGTTGTGGTCTCAGTGTATCATACATACCTTGTCAAGCCACCCCTATATCACCCTTGGTTGTTTTGGAGTAGCACTCTTGGGTGTGTTAGCTCAGTATTAAGTTACCACTCTCAGGATAAAAATTTTTGTGGCTCCCAGCTCACTTAGCTAATTAATTGACTTGAGGGTGTACTGTGTGCTCAGATTGGTGTTAGATACTATGGATATTCAGATGTATGATGTTCTCATGGGTTTTCTGGTATGCTTGAGGACAAAAGACTGATTCAGATTGACAAGTGACAATCTGAACAAGATATGACAGCATTGGAGTACTCTAGTATTATGTATTGTAGGTGCCCTGGCAATGTAGAGGTGAGGGAGATCAATGAGGCTTAAAACAGGCAAGGATGTCTTTGTGAAGCAGATGGGACACAAACTGGCTCTTGATAAGCAGAGTTTGGTTAGACAAGAACTAGAACAGTCTTGGTGCACAGAAATTGCCCACTTACTATCTGCTGAATTGGATAGGCAGGAGGGCATTATCTAAATTGACTACAAAATTGCAGGTATAAAAAACTGGATGTATTCAACTAGGTTGGTAAATTTGTTTAAACTTTTGGGGTGCCTGGGTGGCTCAGTCGGTTAAGTGTCTGCCTTTGACTCAGGTCGTGATCCCAGGGTTCTGGGATCGAGCCCTGCATCATCGGGCTCCTTGCTCAGCAGGGAGCCTGCTTCTCCCTCTCCCTGTGCCGCTCCCCCAACTTGTGCTCTCTCGCTCTGTCAAATAAATGAATAAAGTCTTAAAAAAAAAAAAAAACTTAAAAACTTTTAATAAAATAGGGTTGTTTTGGCCAGCCTTATGCTTAAGTCTGTGTATTCGAAGCTTAATAAAGTTAACTTACCCTACATTTGCAATTAAGATTTTCCAGGAGACAGGATTATGTGGGAAAGTCCTTCATTTTTTATTTTGGTGCCAGGAGATGTTCCGAAGTTTTTCTATATCCCCTACATATTTTTTTCTTCAGCCTTTCCTGGGTCTCTTCCCTAATTCTTTTTGAATTGCTGGGGAAGGAAGGAAGAAAGAAGAGATCTAAATGCCCTCTGGCAAACTGAATTTTCTTTGCCATGAGTAAAGTTAGGAAATAGAATGACCACTGGGAGACTGATCAGCCCAAACAATTCTATGAATAGGTCTGTATTTGAGACAGAAACCTAGAGATCAGTGGTTCAAGGTACTTTTTTTCATATTATAAGTGTGCCTACTATTTGTCCTGATGTTTGAATAGAAGTGTACCCTATTACCCCTTGGTGTCAGTGTTCCTAAATTGCAGATTTTGGGAAGGTAGTTTTAAAATGGGAGTATATAATATTAAAGACACCACGAGACAGCATATGTATAATCAAGAAACTTAAGCTGAAACAACAATTAAGTTTGGCATTTGGGTAGATTTATGCTATTTAGACTTTAGCTCTCAGAAGCACTCTTTGGTTTTGAGAGTGGGTATCCTTGCTGTTTTGCAGCCCTTTCCTATTCTCTGTTTACCATTTTTACTACAGAGAACATGAACCTGTTATATCACCTTTCTCTTTCTAATAGGTTCTTGATAAGAAGTATTTGCTAGACTTCAACATTTCAGAAGAGAGGTGAAAAAGTATATTGCAACTCTGAATCAAGCCTGTAGGCAGGTGGACTGATAGATTAAACCACAGGTAAGGCTATGTCCACAGTGAGTTACATTAAAAAGGAATAAGAGGGGGCGCCTGGGTGGCTCAGTTGGTTAAGCGACTGCCTTCGGCTCAGGTCATGATCCTGGAGTCCTAGGATCGAATCCCGCATCGGGCTCCCTGCTCGGCGGGGAGCCTGCTTCTCCCTCTGACCCTCCCCCCTCTCATGTGCTCTCTGTCTCTCTCATTCTCTCTGTCTCAAATAAATAAATAAAATCTTTAAAAAAAAAAAAAAGGAATAAGAGGAACATTAATATATTACCATCAAAAGTGTTTCATGTATCTTCAAAAGTAACATTTTGGAAGAAAATTTATTTAATACGGAAAGCAAAAGAAAGAGCTATCACTCACTATCCTACCTCTCAGATAAACTATTGCTAGTATTTTGATAGATTTCTTTCCAAATTTTTCTGTGTACATATTTGGTTTTAAAAAGTCATACACTTCGCGCCTGGGTGGCTCAGTCGTTAAGCATCTGCCTTCGGCTCAGGTCATGATCCCGGGGTCCTGGGATCGAGTCCCACATCAGGCTCCCTGCTCAGCAGGAAGCCTGCTTCTCCGTCTCCCTCTCCCCCTGCTTGTGTTCCCTCTCTCACTGTATCTCTCTCTGTCAAATAAATAAATAAAATCTTAAAAATAAAAAGTCCTACACTAAAAATTTTCATTATTTTTTTCAACTTAATAATTAGGTTATGAACATTTTTTCATGTCATTAAAATTTGCTACAACTTTTATTATTTAAAAGATTTTATTTGTCAGAGAGAGAGAGAGCACGTGAACAAGCAGGGGGAGCAGCAGGCAGAGGTAGAAGCAGGCTTCCTGCTGAGCAAGGAGCCCGATGCGGGACTTTATCCCAAGACCCTGGGATCATAACCTGAGCTGAAGGCGGACACTTAATCGACTGACCCACCTAGGCATCCCGCTACAACATAATTTTAATGGCTATGTGGTATTCCATTATATGGTTCTGCCATAGTTTTTTATGCAGTGAAATCATTGGTCAAAAGTTCATTTTTTTTTTTTTTAAGATTTTATTTATTTATTTGAGACAGAGAGAATGAGAGAGACAGAGAGCACATGAGAGGGGGGAGGGTCAGAGGGAGAAGCAGGCTCCCTGCTGAGCAGGGAGCCCGATGCGGGACTCGATCCCGGGACTCCAGGATCATGACCTGAGCCGAAGGCAGTCGCTTAACCAACTGAGCCGCCCAGGCGCCCCTAAAAGTTCTTATTTTTAGGACTTGGGTATGTAACACCAAACTGCCTCATAGGAAAATTATGCTGATTTACATACCCACTTAATAGTGTATATTCACTATTCACACAGGTACAAATTTATATTTTAAAAATATGTGATACATTCACATGGTACAAAAATCAAATAGTATGAAAAGGTTTATAGTTAAAAATCTTCTTTCAACCCTGTCACTAGCTACCTCACTTCCTGGCATCCCATAGGTAATCACTTTTTGAGGTTCTTGGGTATCTGTGTATCTACATCCCAAGAAGGATACCTTTTGAACAATATAAATCTTTACAAGACTGAGTGATTGAGATTTCACTAGGAATGTAACCTCCTGCTGCCCAACTGTCAACCCTTACAAACTCTTTCAGCTTGTTACTATTGAAACAGCAGGGCGCCTGGGTGGCTCAGTTGGTTAAGCAACTGCCTTCGGCTCAGGTCATGATCCCGGAGTTCCGGGATCGAGTCCCGCATCGGGCTCCCTGCTCAGCGAGGAGCCTGCTTCTCCCTCTGACCCTCCCCCACTCATGTACTCTCTCTCTCTCTCTCTCTCATTCTCGCTCTCTCAAAATAAATAAATAATCTTTAACAAAAAAAAAAGAAACAGCAGAACACTTTGATATCCTACAAAGATTTCCTGATATTCTACAAAGATTTCCTTTTAGTATTCTACAAAGATCTGTGTCATTATTTGGTTTGAAGGTAAATGGCATCATTGATTTTTATCCAGGTCTTATTAGTTGTATAAGAGCAGTTTAGGGTTTAGAGAGTTGTATGGATAAATTAAATAAAGCAGAACTGAGTTCATAATCCATAACTCACAAGTTTGGGAGAAAGATGATAAAAAATATATGTGCTTGAGGTTTCTGGACAGTGATGAATTATAACAAGTGTCCACGTGTCCTGTGCTGACTTCTGAGTGCTTGGACAGTGAGGAATTGTCATTGGATTTTAAATTGACCCAATTTTGGAAGCTT